TTGTTAAATTCTTAAGTCAACGTGACATGGTTCACACATGTAAACTGAAGTACATGCCTAGGTATCTGCAGGATCAAGGTCTTGCTAATTCTGGTACCTATTTCTGTCTCTTTCTAAGTCTTATCTCTCCTAGTTACTATCAATTCAGTAACAAAACATTTAACATCATTCAAAAACAGCGTTAAAAATACATTGATTTATAGAAAAATGCACACAAAGAGTGTGCATCTTTGACTACTGGATTTCAAGGTAGCTTCAGTTAATGTATCTTTGGGTCAGGATTACTTTTATTCTAGTGTGCTTAATGTAAATTACCTGGCACCATAAAGTAAGAGTACAAAACCTTCAAACCTTCAATACAAATTTAGTGACTAGTAGAACAAGTGCAGTGCCACACATGACCACAAAGCATCCTCCACAAGTACAATAACATTGAGCAATCTGTATTAGGATACTGATCCCATTGACACTTGAATACCTTTAAAAAAAATTTAAAATCTGCTGCTAGTTACTGCAACTTGAGAATGAAATGGAATTTAGAAGTCAAAGGATACTTTAAAATTCACCATCAGCACATTCTACACAAAGTCATAAACGGTACAATATGACAGGAAAAACTGTATCCTAATAGTGTACAGGCCATGCAGTCTGTGTACCAAAGTAGCACATTGTGTATTCTGTGAATATCTGATTTGCTCAGTGGTTTAGCGCTCTCGTTAAAAACAAGAGTGCTAGGCTTCAAAGTATGGCCTTCAGCTTGTGGTCACAGTAGCCTTCCATGGATAACTAGCAAAGATCATGCAATAAAAGCTAAAACATCCTCAGAAGAGACAGAAATGTCAGAAAATAACAAGGAAACTGAACTGCTTCAATGAAGTGCAGTCCTAGAACTTCATCCTGGAAATCTTAATCTGGACCTTCTAATACTGAGTTCCATTAATAAATACAAAAGCTGAATAGAAAGCATCATCTGCATCCACAGCAAGGGAAAAAAAAATATGTAGCCCTCAAACACACTAAAATGGCAATGATATCTTTATGTTTCAAAATGTTAAATCATGACTTCGAAACACATGAAAAAGCAAAGGAATTTTAAAATATAATTTTGTTTCTGTAAACATACATATTTATATATGTATACACTTACAGATAGATATAGACAGACAGGTAAAGCACTTTCTTTTGGCTAGTTTTTAATCTATCCGTCTCGATGTCTCTGCATCTCTGTAGAAATGATTTGTCTCTTTCTAACCCCTTCTCCATTTACTATATGAAACTTGATTAAATAGGCATTAATGACAGAGAAAGTATAAACTTTTCTCTTTGCTCTTCATTTTTGACACAATGATGCAATAATGCCTCTTAAGGAAATGCTCCTATATTCCTTCTCCAAAAATTTCTCTCATTTAGAGTAGCAGTCTTTTATCGTCATCAGAGTTTTGATTGAACAGAAATTGCAAGATCAGGTATTCTCTTAGTTAAAGGAAGGTAAAAATGGCTTGGAGGGCTGCCATGCTGCTCCCAATCCACTGAATTGCACATTTGCACAGTCTTGTCAAATCACAAAAGCTGTGGCACTGGCATCGTTCTCCCCTTGGGGCACCAGTAGCATAAAATGTTATGTATTTATGAACACATAGGGTTTGGGGGATGAATACAGGGCAGAGAATGCTGATGAGGCCCACAGGCAATGTGGATCAACATGCATTTCTACACAGGGACCATATATCAGACTCTGCTGCTTGTACCACCAGAGTGGCTTTTTTTCATCTTGGCCCTAGTTTAGAAGGAAAGAGAAAGGTAGGAAGAGCCTACTACATCTACATTAAGCACTCAACTGAATGAGCTCCCACATAGAGGAAAACCAGGCTCTAAATATTCATTGCATGTCGAAATTCTGCTAAGAAATCCCTAGACCGCTGCAGAGCTATTGAGGATCAAGGCTTTGGCCATAAAATTGCACTTAGCTGCATTTCACATGACTGTTGCACAATGCATAGCACAGGTTAACCTTAAAAGACAGATTCAAAAATCTTCAGACTTAATAAGTATTAGAAGCCTAAATGCTCCACTGATCCAGATGCTTGTTAAAAAAGTTTATTCAGGTTGCAGATGCCTAAAGGGATCATACGCTTTAGAAAAACATCTCTTAACCATGGGATATCTGTACCATCTAGAATTTTGCGTATATCTTTATTAAACTGTAACAGTCAAAACACAACAGCCTTCAAAAATAAATTCTGATGAATGTCATACATACACTTAAAGTGTCCCTTTTATGAAAGTGAAAGTCTATCAGATAGCAAGAGAAAATTAGACCAAATTACAAATCTGTTTCCTCTCACAATGTATCCTCTGAAGCTTTCAGACAAACATACTCTCTTGATATGCTGCTTCAGCACAACTGTTAGAAAAAAATGCTCTCTATATCATGCCATACCGTATCCAAACTAAATAGTTAAAGGACATCATTTGTCAGAGTGAATTAACAAATCTGGCAAATGACTAATCCAATGGGGAATCACAGATATGTGTTCTCACATTAAGTGATCAAATGAAGGGCTAAGGACAGTCCTTGAAATGGAAGCAATTTTTGGATTATTGGTTAACAATTTCAAACAATATTGACTCCAGGGAAACTGCCTTCCTAATGAAACCAACAGCTCACAGAAAGAGAGCTTACAGGGTCAAATTTGTAATTATTTTTTTGCTGAGTATGTTGTTTCCCAGATTAAAAACATCTTTTTTGGAAACCTTAATCAAATTATTTGCATATATATGGTTTTATTTATTTTCACAAACATTTGATTTTTGTAGTGATGTTAGATGCTCATATGATTCATGTTCCTGGAGTCCAAGCCCAGTGAAAGCAACTGCTCTTTTATGAAGACCACAGTGCCCTTAGGCTATAATTTAAATTGCTAAGTAGTTTTCTGCCCATTTTTACAAAAACATATAATAGTTTTTAATGCTCTACGTCTTAATGACATTTACCTTATTACCCTTTGGTGACATGCTTCATTGTTATCTTTTTTTTTTTTTTTTTTAACAGAAATCAGAAGGTTAGAGGGATAAACATTCAGTTGATATACGTTATAACTATTAGGATATTGATCTCTAATGAAGTCATATGCCTTTTCACTACGGTGCTATCCTTATCTTGCACTAAAAGCCAGTACAACTGGCTTCTATTAGCACCATGGCAGGAGCATCACCACCCAGCTTTAGGATAGCTCTAGCAGATGTGAGGAGACCTCTAAACGAGTGACATTAAATAGTCCCATGGCTGACAGTGTCATTACTGCAAGCGCGGCACATGGTAACACTGCCTCCCAAGCTCTGGGCTGAGCAAGCAGAAGGCATCTGTGGGCACAGGAGAGGCCATGGTACATAGCAGCAGGGAGATTGCCCAGGGGCTGCAGAGACAAGAAGAGGTCATGGGAGGTACGGCAGGGCCACCCTGCAATGCCAGCCACACGTTGGTTCTTTAAAACTGGCAAACTGAAGCTGTAAGTATTTCTCATTTTCAGTTCCAGTGTATGCAATACTACTGGCCACAGACTGGAGGACTTACATCGGTTGTTGGAAAAGGAAGCCCCTACCATTTGTAATATCCTTCTTACAAGTAGCTGCCTGTCCACACATTTTGCTCCCACAATAAATTCTTTCAGAAGAGAGTAGGATGGAGAGAAGCAAAAGAGAAAGACTACGGTAGGAAGACAGACAAAACCAAAGACACCACTTATACCAGACACAGAAACTGAAAAGTTTCCCGCACCACACCACTCTTCTGCCCTTTCATGTATTTACGTACAGCCCTGGCATGAGACACGGAGTTGCCTGCCATAGCCGCCAGCAATGACAACCCTGAGCTTGTTAGACCATTATGCTAGAATGAAAATCCTTTGCCACAGATCTGCATCATCTGCTTTTGGTACATTCATCCATAGCACCCAAGTTTGGGGTTTTTTTTCCTGCTTGGCTTCCCATCACTGGAAGTTGATATGCCCCACCCAAGCACGATGACATACATGTAAACCACAAGATCCTTAATAATAATCTAGAATTACTGTGTTTTCACCAAATGCTCAGAAGCCCCCTACACTGGCATACTCCAGCTTCAGATCGAACAAAATGCTTCCCTCCCATGCAAATTCAACACTGTCAGCAATTCTGAAGGGAGGAGGAATAGGAAAAAGGCAGGAGGGGGCTGAGCTCAAACTCGCCCAAAGGTCAGTCCCAGTCTTAGTCCTGGACAGCAGTCCCCAGGAGAAGTCATGCAACAAGGCCTTTCTAAAGCCTCCAACACCACCATTTCATACAATGCACATGGTGACAAAAAATCTAAGTGATTTAAGAAAAAGCCACTCAACTTGCTTATAAATGCAGTTAGTCCAGTGTTGGTAGCAAATAGACAGGTCAGATGTCAACAGGTCTACTGGAGACTAGATGAGATGCATTGCTTAACTTCTGAAGAACCCAGCTATGTGTACACACACACACACACACATTGAAAAGGATCCATAAGACTAAATAAGACATGGAAAAAGGAGGACAAAAGAGTTAATTTCAAATTTTTCTTTCTATGAATTTGAAAAATAATAATAAATTGCTGCACTGAAAATAGTTTTATTCACAAATGCTGGGTCAATTATTTTTCTTAACCTCTGAAGAGTACCTCCAGGAAATTATACCGGGCCAGAGATAAACCAAGTATAAACAAACATAGTGAAAGTGTTCAACACAAACCAAAATAAGGATGTGATACAATGTCCTCTGTGTGGCTTCATTTTTTTTAAAGATGAAATATATTTTTAAAATTACAACAATTTCAAATAGACAGAGTCTAAATGTGTTTCTGCAATAACTACAATCATATCCAACAGTATAAGAATACACAGTAAGAATTAAATAAACTTATTTGAATGAGAATAGAATTGTTTCATAATATTAACCCACAGCATCATTCAGATAATATTTTGTCATTAATCAGAACTTACCATATTGATTGGATCTACTGGGCCAATGCTGTTAACATAGACATCTGTTTCAATTACCGTAGTTCTCACTAAACAAAACAGTAACCATAATAATTATATACTTAATTAACTCTGTACATTGTTAGTGTAATTTAACCCCTTTACTAAAACAAAAACAAATCTGATATTCTTTTATTAGATTCAGAATAATTAAATCTCTGGTTTGTTCATTCTGTGAAGGACCATATATGACTTGGCTCTCTTATTCCATACGAATTGTTAGAATCATCAACATGAATTTTTTACTTCTTAATGCAATCTCCATCTGTGCTTTGTGAACAGATATAAGATAGTTATAAAAGGTTTAAAAGGTAAAGGAAAAAAAAAAAAACCAAGAAAAAAAACTGTCTTCTAACACAAAAATTTAATTGTAAACAGAATAAAAATGCTTGGAAAAATTGCTCGTATAACAAACCATGAGGTCTGGGAGCAGATGTGTTTATCAGCTATAAGGAATCAATATGCAGTGCTTTCTGTCAACTCCTACTGAAAACATGTAAAAAAAATAACATAACTTTTCACCACAGATTTCTTCAATTCATGCAACTATAGCACACCTAAGGATTACTAATGTCCTTTCATCAGCTTGATTAATACACTGCTTCAAACACCAAATTGAAAGCTCCTCAAGTGAAGTCATTTAAAAGTTAAACATTTCCAAACTTATTTTTCTTTAAAAACACAGGGAAACCACTCTCACTGGGCAGACAAAAATTATCTGTTTTAAAAATATATTCTCTTACAGAATACACTCTCACTTTGTGCACTTACAGAAGGGCACAAAGTCTAAGTGACTTCCAGTGAAAGTCACATATGAAGTACAGGTGGCTCTGATAATTCAGTTTTTTCCTCTTAACTGGTTTATAGGGGAAAAAAGTACAAACAGAAGAGGTCAGGATGTATTTTAACTTCATCAATTTAGCAAGCATTTTCTTTGTATTGGAGAGCCAGAATGTGCACACAAGAGGACATATACCCTAGTCCCAGGTTAATAATAAAGCTCTGCTGGTCTGTCTTTCATGATCTGGCATGTTAAAATGAAGCATCTCTGTCCATCTGCAGATGAAAAAAGTGGAAAGTACAAACAAAAAGACACTTTGATTTCATAGAAGAGGGACCCTAAGTCATCAGATTTTATTTCTTTGTACTGCAAACCACCAGATTGCCCAAGTGGTCTATAACAAACCTAAAGTGTTAGCTAAGAGGATTTTTCAAATCTCAAAAATCTAAAACTCCAATACACAGAAAGAAACTGGGTATCATTAACATCCTTGCCAGCTACAACAACAGGCAAGATACATTTCCTAAATATTCTAAGATACCTTTTCCCTGCCAGTCTCACTTGGGAGGAAATTCTCCCTGATTCCAAAACCAGTTACTGGTGTGACCCTGAGCCTGACAGCAAGACACACCAGTGAGGTTGCACAAAGGATTTTCTGTACTACCACAGAGCACAGAGTCACTTGATCACCACCCTGTCCCCAGCATGCTTCACAGAAAGTTTAAACAGACTCTGGAAACCACTTTATTTCCTGGGGGAAAAAAAAAGAAGTACTTTCCTGAGTTGCAAATGTTTTCAATATCTGCAGGGCTCATAAAGGAAGGGAGGCAACACAACAGCTCATATCCACAGACCAAAAAATCAGAGTAAAAAAAGTATGTAATGCACGTGTGTACATACACATATGTATAACATATTTTACGTACTCCACATCTTGCAAACAGATACCCTCGTCCTTTAATTTTGCAACCCTATTTATCTGTGTAACAGCAACCCCACTGCTAGACTAGAACACAAGGGGGTGGATCAAATGTATCTTGCCTCATTGCTCAATGCTGAATCCACTATTTTTTTCCCTGTATTAGTAGGAAATGTTAATTCTCCTCAGCGTTAGGAAATCTTATTTTATTCTGAGGTTCAAGTCTTTTACTCCAACTTTCATCACTGCCTAGCCAGATATCAAACCTCTTCTTCAGACACAAGTACCTACACGCAGCAACTAAGGCCACCTCCGAAACTAGCTTTTGGTATGCTGAACAGTTCATACTGCATACTGCAAATGCAACCTACAGGTAATCTGTTCAGCTTTAACTTCTAAACTTGCTCCATTGTTTCCAGATCCATCTTGAAACGTGAACACTAGAACTGGAAATTTTTGTAATAGTGTTATCAGTGCTGCTTCAACATTTCCAGATTTCTACTTGTGTTCCTTTTCAAAACTGGACTTATCTCAGGACAATGCTCAGGGGTTGCATATCTAAGATCTTACACTACACAAAATATCTAAGTTTTCCCCTAAATCACTGCTTTACTATGCAGAACTTCTCACCTTGAAATATGACCCATGGGCTTCCTCCCCCCCCCCCCTTTTTTTTTCCCCTTCCAATTTTTGTACCTCCAGTTTTACTGAAGGAGCTGATTACTCTGCAGATACAGCCTCTCCTTTTCCAACAGTCTTTGTGTCATCTGCCAACTTTACTACAAAAACACATTGCTGAAATCATTCGAAATACCATTATTCTTGATCAAGCCTTTCCTATGAGACTCCACTATAGACAGCCCAACCACTGGTATTTCCTTATTAACAACTAAATTCTGAGATCTGTCAGCGAGCCAGTTTTTAATGGGGGCTGTGTCAATTTTATGAAATTCCAGCTTGCAGCGAGGAGCACTTGATCTGCCACAAGGACTCTCCTGTAATGTGCCATGGAGTTCAATTTGCCTTGTCCATACTGCTCTGAGTAAGATTATTAGAGCTATTAAAAGCCAGTGAAGAGTCTGAAAATCTGCCTCTGTTGAAATTATTTTAATTGACCCAAATGATCCAGAGAAAGAGATCCAATTCGAGAAGACTGGAAGAGCTGTTTTGTTACCTTAGTTCTTCAGTATGGTACAGAGCAAAGTACTTCTGTGAATTAGAAGAAAGAATTAATTCTTCTCTTGTTCTTGAACTAGAAGTGATATGAGTCCATGAAAATGACAAATGCTGGAGGAAAATACATTCTTGATACTAATTTCACATCCATATAATTACTATTGTTCATTTACTCCCCACAAAGAGCTAACAGAAAAAGATGGTTTGAGATTTTTCCACTGTGAATGCTTCTTATTTTACTTTAAAAATTTGGTATTAGCCTTGAAAACACTACAAGTAGGAAGAAGGTTATTTAACACATTCTGTGTGAAGTGCAAAACAGCACCATAAACTTACAGAAGCTTCTAAGGAAAGGGAGAAAGGGCTTGCACACTGTAAACATTTACACTGAAAGACAATGTAAGCCAGACTATAGTAAAGTCAGGAGGTGAGAGAACAGTAGATTGCATAGGTGGGGGGTGGGGGGGGAAGAGAGGAGCACCAACGGGCAGCTGCCCCCAACGGATACTTCGTCAGCTCCTAATGTAGCTGAAGCACACAGGGAACATGTTCGCTAAGCCTGATCTAGAGAGACCTACTCACACTTCACTAGACTAAACTTCTCTTCTGGTTTAAAAGGTTTGACTGGTATTGAGCATCATCTAACACAAGCACATAGCTAAGGACAGGTTTGTACCAAGAAATAAATATAGTAAATAAGTGACTCTTGTGCCTGGAATTCAAGAGCAAGAATTAACTTCCCAAGAAGAAACAAGACCTGGAAAGAAGTCTCCCTCAGCAGGCATGGACCACAACCCACCCTTCTAGTAAGGGATGATGCTGCATAACCCCCAGGCCGTGGTGGGTTGACCTTGGTTGGACACCAGGTGCCCACCAAAGCCGCTCTATCACTGCCCTCCTCAACTAAATAGGGGAGAGAAAATGTAATGAAAGGCTCATGGGTCATTATAAGGAAAGGGAGAGATCACTCACCAAGCGTCATGGGCCAAATAGATTCAACTTGTGGAAAATTAATTTATTACCAATCAAATCAAAGTAGGGTCATGAGAAAATAAAAACAAATCTTAAAACACTTCCCCCCTACCCCTCCCTTCTTCCCAGATTTAACTTT